TCATGGCAGAAGTGACAGCAGGGTTGGGTCTTGAAGATGTCTAAAGGTAGATCTTGAGAAAAAGCAATATGAAGCACAGAGAACAGCAGGAAGAGGGTGGTTTTAGGGAGCAGCTTGGTTTCACTAGAGCATTTGGTTTGAGGAGGGTCATCGCTGATAAGGCCGGAAAGGGCAGTTGGCACCAGATCCTGGGGAGAACTTCAACCCCAGGCTGAAGGTCAGGCTTCATTTGCTGATCAGTGGGGAGTCACTGAAGCATTTTTTAAAAGCAGCCATATTAAGGTAGAACTGCCAGAGAGACAACTACACTTTTCAAAGTATACACTTTGATAAGTTTGCATGAGATCATCACTCATGAAATCATCACCACCATCAAGATAATTAATATATCCAGTAATCCTCAAAAGTTCCACTGAAGGACTAAGGGAGTGGCAATCAAAGCATTGCTTTTGGAAAGTGTTTTTTGATTTAAAAAGTAATAATAAATACCTCCTTCTCGGAAAAGTTCTAAAAGTCTTGTCATCTCCTTTACTGGTATAATACATTTAAAAATAAATTATACCATATCTAAAACCAAATCATGGTGGATGCGGTGGCTCACACCTAAAATTCCCAGCACTTTGGAAGGCCAGGGTGGGAGGACTGCTTGAGCCCAGTCCTTTGATGCTGAGGTAAGCTGTGATCATGTCACTGCACTCCAGTATGGGCGACCGAGTAAGAGCCTGACTCAAAATAAAAATAAAAACAAAAAAAAATCAAAACAACTGACAAATCAGTCACAGCTATGGTCAATCTGGTGACAGCACACAGGAAAGACTGGAATGGGACAGGGACAGGACTGGAACAGGACAATCCATTGGAAGTCTAAGTAGGTGGCTAAGTAGTCCATCATAAACATGGCAGGAAGAATCAAGAGAAGAAGGAAATAATAGACAAGAAAGACTAAGTGGGTGAGTTGAGCTGGAGAGAGGGAGACGGCGAAGATGACTGAGGTTGTCAGTTACATGGCAGCCTGGGGAGGGAAGGGATGAGAACGGCACATGTAACTACGAAATAAGGTTTGTGGCTATGGATCTGAGAAGAAGGGGAAGAAATCATATTTAGGAATCACTCACATCAAGGCGAAAGGTAAGGCCATAAGAATGGTTTGCATCTGTGAGGGATAGAGTTCATGGGGAGAAAAAAATCAAGCTTAGAACCTTATGAACTCCAAATCACAGGGGCTCCAAACTGCTCATGGCACAGTGTTTAAAATATTCTAGGCACTGGTCCTTGACAAAGTGTATTGTTTCACTTATCCCACACAACAATCCTATGAATTAGTTATCCAATCATCTCTATTTTACAGACGTGGGATCTAAGGCAGAGAGAAATTACTCTCTGGGTTACGATGTGTTCTTTCTTCCTTCAGCCCAATTTTTTTTTTTTTTTTTGGAGCCGTAGTCTCTGCTGCCCAGGCGGGAGTGCAGCAGCATGCTCACTACCACTGCAGTCTCAACCTGCCGGGCTCAGGCGATCCTTCTGCCTCAGGCTTTCAAGTAGCTGGAACTACAGGCATGCACCACCATGCCCAGTTAATTTTTTAGTTTATTGTAGAGATGTCTTGCCAAGTTGCCCAGGCTGGTCTTGAACCCGTGAGCTCAGGCACTCCTCTCACCTTGGCCTCCCAAAGGACCGAGATTATAGGCAAGAGCCATCATGCCTGGCCCAACCCAGTGTCTTAAGCTCTCCTGGGGTAAGTTCTCCTAAAACATACCCAGGCTGGAGCTGCTTCCTCTTCAGCCTAGTGTAATCTCAGTGGGTATCAGATCTCAAGATAGTGCAGAATTTTGGGACTAAACTCACAGTCTGATGTTTTATGGGCAACACAGGATAAAACAGGGAGCTGGTATTTATCACTCAACTTAGATTGCACTTGTTCATATGCACAGACAGAGGAATTTTATTTCATAAGCGAATGGTATTAGTCTAAGCAAAAATTGTGATTTTGTTTAAGCAGTCAAATATCACAAAACTCACCATCTTGAGTTTATAATCATATAAGAGACAAACGATCAAGTGTCTTAATGGTAGCCAAAAATACAGTGTCTACTAAAAAGAAACAAGAAATCTTATTTATGGACCAGGCAATGGCTCACACCTGTAATCCCAGCACTTTGGGAGGTCGAGGAGGGAGGATTGCTTGAGCCCAGGAGTTCGAGACCAGCTTAGGCAACTTAGTAAGACCTCGATAAATAAAAAATTAGCCGACCATGGTAGTGCACACCTGTAGTTCCAGCTGCTTGGAAGGCTGGGGCGGAAGGTTTGATGGAGCCTAGCGTGACATGGAGTGGCCGTGAGTGTGCCACTGCACTCCAGCCTAGGCGACAGAGTGAGAGTCCAACTCAAAAAAAGAAAAATAAATTAAAAATAAAAAAATTGAGTGTGGTGCATGCCTGTAGTCTCAGCTGCTTGGGAGACTGAGTCAGAAGGATAGTCTGAGCCTAGGAGGTCAAGGCTGCAGTGAGCTGCAATCATGCCACTGGACTTCAGCCTGGGTGACAGAGTAAGACCTCAACTCAAAGGAAAATAAACCTCATTTATGGATTACTAACCTCTTGAGATTCATCCAGGAATAGAGGAAATAAGCATAACTTGAGCAAATAAAAAATAGATTACCAGCATTACATATTTACTTCTCTGCATTTAGGGGAACTGGCTAGATGGCTGGCTGGGGAGGGGTAGTAATTAGCTTTGTTAAACTTTAGCCAAAGTCATTAATGCCACTCTTCACACACTGATGTATCAATGCCTTTCTTTTTGATATTCAAATAAGTTGTCTGGTTTTTGGCGTCTCTACATGATGATTGCCTACTAGTGTACTACATTATTAAGGACTATTTTGAGATATAAGATCATATAGGCCAGGTGCGGTGGCTCAAGCCTGTAATTCCAGCACTTTAGGAGGCCGAGGTAAGAGGATTGCCCGAGCCTACGTGTTCAAGACCAGCCTGGGTAAATTAGTGAGACCTCATCTCTACAATAAATAAAATTAGTTGGGCGTGGTGGTGCTCCCTTGTGGTTCCAGCTACTTGGAAGGCTGAGGTGGAAGGATTGCCTGAGCCCAGCATGTTGACGCTGGGGTGGCTGTGAGCCTGCCACTGCACTCCAGCCTGGGCGCCAGAGGGAGACTCCAACTAAAAAAAAAAAAAAAAATCATATAAACCTTAAGTTTTGCTTACAATCACTCTTGCTTGTAAGGGGAAGGAGCCACGGAGCTCTCCGACTGCCTGGGAGAAAGTGTTGATTCTGTAAGAACTAACAAACAAGGCCAGACTAAGTTCTGAAAAGAGAATTAAGTATCTTTGAGTTTAAACCCTATCTATAACTGTGTTTTCAGGAATTGTCAGGACTGCAAAAGACTTTAAATTACTCAAGGAGAGATGATGATTTAGAGCAGAGGTCAGCAAACTTCTGTAAGTATTTTAGATTTGACAGGCCATATAGTGTCTGCCATAATTACATAACTACAAAACTCTGTTACTGTAGTGCAAAAGCAGCAGTTTACATGGACAACATGTAAACAAGCTAGTGTAACTGCATTCTAATAAAACGTTATTTACAAAATAGGACATTCTGCTAAATTTGGCTTGTGGAATGCCAATTCCTGCTCAAAAGTGATGGCTCTCAGATTCTATACATCAGAATAACCTGTGGAACTGGTTAAAGAGGTAGTTTCCTAGGCTCCAGCCCATCCCTACTGAATTAAAATCTCTAGGGATGGGAATAAGCAATTTAATGAGGTCCACCCACTAAGCGCAGTGATTCATGCCTATAATCCAAGCACTTTGGGGACGATGAGGATTGCCTAAGCCCAGAGTTCCAGATCAGCCTAGGCAACATGGCGTCTCTACAAAAATTCAAAATTAGCTGGGTGTGGTGGCACACCTTTAGTTGCAGCTACTCAGGAGGCTGGGGCAGAAGGCTTGCCTGAGCCTAGTAGGTGGAGGCTGAGGCAGCCATGATCATGCCACTGCGCTCCATCCTGGGCAACAGAGTGAAACTCTGATTCAAAAAAAAAGTTCACAAGTGGTGTGTGAACCACACTTTGGAAACGCTGTAGTGGACACATAGCGTCATCTCAGCTGAGGTGGCCCTACTATCTTAGGATGTGGGCCAGCACTTCCTGCATCCTGTGGCTGTAAAAATGCAGTAACAGTTTTAATTTGTTTGACTGTTCTAGGAGAAGGGTAGATCAACAAACTACTATTTTTTTTTTTTTTTTGGCTTCCAGCCTCCAAAACACATAAAATAATTGTTCTCAGGTGAAACTAATGTGAATTTTAGGTATGGTTTTGAGTAAACATCCTCAACTTAAAATAACAAACATTTTTCATCCAAAAATCTTCCAAAAAATACTTTTCATTGCCAAATTAGTAGACAAGATCCTTACCAAAGGACAGGGATACATCTGAAGGAAGTTTCCATTGTTCTCCCTTTCCCCCAAAATATCTCCAGCAAAGGCCTGCCCTGTTGCTTGGAATTCTACCACTAACAAGTCATTACTGGCCAGGTGCAGTGACTTACGTCTGTAACCCCAGCACTTTGGGAGGCCAAGACAGGAGGATCGCTTGAGTCCAGGAGTTTGAGATCAGCCTAGGCAACAAAACAAGATCTCCTCTCCACAAAAAATAAATAATTAGCCGGGCATGGTGGCATGTGCCTTTAGACTCAGTTATTTGGGAGGCAGAAGGATCACCTGAGCCCGGGAGGTCCAGGCAGTGGTAAGCTATAATGGTACCACTGCACTCCAGCCTGGGGGACAGAGTGAGATCCTGACTAAAAAACCAACCAACCAACCAAGTCGTGACTTTGTGACTGGAGGTCTTTGCTTCAACAGAACCCTATTCAAGCAGAGAATCTCTAGGTCCCCAAGAGCTGCTCCCAACCTGAACCATCAGTAGCAAATAACTTATTCAGCCAAGTTTATTTCTGACCAAATGAAGAAAGTGGGTTTTTTAAAAAAATGTGTTTATTTTAATTGCCAGATATCAATCACCCAAGCAGTTGAAGAGGAAGTCAGGTTCTGTCTGGGGAAGAGTTCCAACCCTTCTTCAGCCCTCCAGATTTTCCTAGGAAAGACAGTGAAAATCCTACAGTCAAAATAATGGTCATTAGGAACTTCCTAAGAAACCAGGGAAGAACTGCCAATACCGCCTTAAAATTGTGGTTTTCGTGAAGGTTCTGCTGCTCCTGGAAATGAGGAGAGGACTCTTGACAGAGTTTTTTTTTGTTTTTGAGTCAGGGTCTCACTGTCACCCAGGCTGGAGTGCAGTGGCACAATCACAGCTCATGGCAGCCTCAACCTCCTGGGCTGAGTTCCTTCTGCCTCAGCCTCGAGTAGCTGGGGCTGCAGGTGTGCACCACCACGCCTGGCTGATTTTTTTGTAGAGATGAGGTCTTGCAATGTTGCCCAGGTTGGCCTCAAACTTCTGGGCTCAAGCAATCCTCTCACCTTGGTTTCCCAAAGTGCTGGGATAACAGGCGTGAGCCACTGCACCCTGCCTATAACAGCAGTTCTAATGATTACTAAGACATGGACTTAGAATGCCGTCTACAGTTATCACTACAGCAGATGAGACTGTTTTTCGTTACACACTATTAAGATGATTCTGAATTTCCTTAACACGTACATAAAGATGTTAAGGAAAGAAAACCCAGAAATTTACCAAGGAAAAGAGTGAAGCCAGGCTAAGATTAGAATTCTGTCACAAAGAGACTTTATAGATGATTGTGTATAGGAAACAGAGATTAGTTTAATAGCAGTCAGTTGTCAACATTTTAGGTCGCATGACTCTGGAGTCCAGCCCCCACAGCTGAGCTGCTGTCTGCTCCCCTTTTCTGTGGCAAGAAAATCTGGACTTTTTCAGCAAAGGAAGGAAGCCTGTTTTTCCTGCTTGGTTTCCAATGTACAAAAAGTGTCATGAATTGGAATCCCAGATATTAGTAGAAAAACAGAGCGAATGCTAAGCAAAGCCAGGAGCCCCAACCTACTTACCCAGCCTCCCTGGCCCTGGATGAACTCCCGGATGGCTCTGTTCCCATTGATTATCCCTGTCATGCAGACAGCCACCTGTCCTGCCATTTCAGGAGCCACGCGGGCCACACACTCAAGGAGTTTCACTGATACTGCCAGAAATGCTCTCTCATAAGCGAAGTTGGGGTCCTGAGCACACAGGGTCTCGCTGAGAGATCTCACTTTTTCTGGGAATACAGCTTCTACCTGAGGAGAGACACAGGATAGATCAGTAGAGCTTCACTTAAGAAGTGCAGGAATCCAGGAATGCAAGCGCTTCTTGCAGAGTGACAGATGTAACACTGGTGGTGTCTGAGGTTATCTTAGGAGGCAAAGAGCTTCTCATTTTAATATATTGCCATTTTAATGGGTATTAGAAAATGCATAAGTAGTTCATCAGACCCATGATTTCAGAGATTGTTGCTCAGAATGAACAAAATGAAAGAAAAAGAAAATTATTTTAAAGAAAAATATTAGGTGCATGATAGTCCAGCTGGTCATATTGCTTGAATGACTAGGAAGTGTCTAGGAAACTCTAAAGTTAAAAAAAACTGATTAGCTCTTCTTCCTCTTTCCTTTCCAAACAGGGGACCCAAAGGCCATTAGATAAGGCCAAGCAAGATCTACTGGGGCTTAGGGAGCCAATGGTGATCAGAACAGGATGTCAGAGCCCAAACAAGCTTAAAAGGACATCCCTGTGAGAGGGTACTTGGATCTCGGTTTCTAAATATCATTTTCCATGAAAAGGAATATCATTCTCCATTTCAAAGCTCCCTGAAGAATGGCTAATTCCATCTGGGGACTGGGAAGTAAAAGATCTGTTAGAAATTAAGGAAGTACACAAAGAATGATAGAAACACATCAAAGAGATGCAGTCTAAGGCTGGGTATAGTGGCTCATTCCCATAATCCCAGTAATTTGGGAGGCCAAGGTAGGAGGATTGCTTGAGCTCAAGGGTTCAAGACCAGTCTGGGCAACACAGCAAGATCTCATCTCTACAAAAAACCAAAAAAACAAAATAAGCCAGGTGTGGTGATGTGTGCCTTTAGCCACTGCTACTTGGGAGTCTGAGCCAGAAGGATCACCTGAGCCCAGAAGGTGAACTACTGTAAGCTGTGACCATGCCTCTCCACTCCAGCCTGGGTGAGACCCTAGAGTAAGACGCTAACAACAAAAGATGCAGTTTAGGTCAAAAGGACTCCCACTAGTTAAATCTGGGATGAATTGAGCATCTAAATAATGATAGTAACAGATCCATTGAATAAAGTAGGAATTAATGGGTTCAGTGCTGATATAGAAATAAATGCATTGAAATTTTGATGAGTATGGGATATTTACAAATTTCAAAGTACCTCTCTATAAAAAAACACTTATTAATTGCAAAGAGGAAAAGAGTAATTCTACAGTGGAGAAGCCTTCCACACATCATCTTAGGTGACTGAAGTTAATAACGCCAGTAATAGGACAAAATGAACTCTTGTGCCAACTGGTATGATGCAGTGAGAACACAACAGCATTTCTATGATATTCCCACCAAAGGTGCCTATTGTGAATCTACGCAGGAGGAAACAGCAACAAACCAAGATAAGGGGCGATCAACAAAATAACTAGCCCACAATCTTCAAGTGTCAAGGTCATGAAAATCAAGGAAAGACTAAGAAAATACTCCAGACTGAAGGAAACTAAAAACACATGACAACTAAATGTGATTCTGGCCTAGAACTTTTTTCCCATAAATTGCATTATTGGAGCCGGGTGTGGTGGCTCATGCCTGTAATCCTGGCACTTTGGGAGGCAGAGGCGAGGGGATCGCCTGAATCCAGGGATTTGAGACTGGCCTGAGCAATATGGCGAGACTTCATCTCTACAATAAATCAAAAAAACTAGTGGGGCATTGTCGTGCATGCCTATGGTTCCAGC